TAAAAGTTTCTACTATAGGGGTCCTTCTCTTCTTTAGTTAGGTTTATTCCTAAATATTCTGTTTTCATCAGAGTATTGTGAATGGAAGTGTGTCTATGATCTCTTTCTCTATATGTTAGTTGTTGGTGTATAGAAAAGCAATTTATTTGTTCAAATTGAGTTTGTATCCTGGCACATTTCTGAATTTATCATTTCTAGAAGTTTTCTGGTAAGAATTTTTGGTATCTCTTGTGTATAATATGTCATCTGTAAATAGGGATAGTTTCTTCTTTCCCTTCTAGTATCCCTTTTATTGAAAGCTGTCCTATGAGGGAAATTTGATTCTGTCTAAATTTTTTGAAAATCATAAAAAACGTAAATGAATGCTTAATGATGCAACATAAGACTTTGAAAAATAAAAACAGAAAAGATCCAAATCTAGTGAGTAGCAAATAATAATAAAAAATCAGAGCAGAAATCAGTGAAATAGAGATAATGAAAAGAATTAATGAGAAGATAAACAAGATGACAGGCCTTTGTTCCAACTATCCAAAAGAAAGAAAAGGAGAGAAAAGAACATTATAAGGGAATTCTTTAAAAGTCTGTACTCCATTAAGCTGGAAAACCTTAATTGTAAATTTCTAGATTCTGCCAACCACTAAAATTAATCTGAAAACAACAACCTAACATAACATAAAAAAATGAAGAGGTTAAAATAATAATAAAAACTTTCTAGCTACAAAAAGCTCAGGCTCTGATGCAGTCATAGCAGAGTTCTACCAGACTTTCAAAGAAAATCTACAGCCAATCCTTCTTAAACTATTAAACAAAAAGGAGGAGGAAGAAGGAGGAAGGAAGAAGAAGGAGGAGGAGGAGAAGGAGGAGGAGGAGGGGGGAGGGAGGGAGGGAGGGAGAAAGGGAGGGAGGGAAGGAGGAAGGGAGAGGGAGGGAAAGAAAGAGATGGAACACTCCTAAATTTCTTCTGTGAAGCTAGCGTTACTCTAATACTAAACCATGTAAAAACATAGCACAAACAAAAACTACAAAAAAATACCTCTGATGAACATAAAGTCAAAAATGTCCAGCAAAATATTTGCAACCTAGATACTGAGATATATAAAAAGATTATGCACCATTAACAAGTAGCCTTTAGCCTGAAATGCTGAGATGGTTCATTGTATGCAAGCTGACAAGTATAATAAACCATGTCAATGGACTTAAAGGTGAAAATCACATGTTCATCTCAATAGATACAGAAAAAAGCCTTTGACAAAATCCAACATGCCTTCATGATAAAAGGAGGAAGTAGGACCAGAGAAAACAGACTCAATATAAATAAATCTGGCTATGAGAAACCCATAGCTGTCTACATGCTAAATGGAGAAAAGTTTGAAACAAACCTACTGAGGAGTTGTTGTAGGAGATATTTAAATCTCCAACCCAATCAGGACTGGTCAACGAAAACACAACTCAGTAATTGTGAATATATTCTGTAAGCCTAGATTGGACAGATACTACTCTGTTCCCCAGCTATGAGACCCTTATAACTTGAGAGTTTTCCAGACACTGCATTTGTCCTTCTACCTCCTGCTTCCCAGTTGTCCTCCTCCATCATCCTCTGTCATCTTCTCTCTCCTCTCTTCTCCCCAGTCATCCTCTCTCTCTTCTTTCCCCAGCAGTCATCAGCTCCGCTGTCTCCATTGTCTCTGATGTCTTCCTCCTCCATTGTCTTCCTCCAGTCGTCCTCCAGTCATCCTTCTTCCTGCTCTCTTCCCACCAACCTTTCCCCCCGCCCAGGGTGGTATTTTTATATTATGCAGATTTTTTAAAATCAAATCGTAATTTTTACTTATTCACACAGAGGTTATAAACACAAAAAGGCAGGATGTGGGGAAGGGGATGACACTGGAGCGTAGGTGTTCAGGGAGAGTACAGATATCTTTCAGAATGTGGTAATGGCTGGGTGAAAGTTCAGGGGACAGGTCGCTATGACTCTGCTTGTGATTCACTTGTTCTTTCTAAGGTGGTACTATCCGCTAAGGCTACCTATTTACAAGGTCTATGACTATTCAGGATGGTAAATTTCCACAAAAGCTGCCTGTTTACAATAGCTTATAGCCATCTGTTTCAGTGTTTTTCCACAGAGACCCAAGACTTTGTGTTAACATGCATGTATGTCAGGCCTATTGCTGATTTTAGGTCTATGGCTGATTTTAGGCCTTCAGTGAATAAACAGGGCTGCCCCTGACATCTCCTCCCTTCTCCAAGTATAGAAGGGCCATGGTGATTCTAATCTTGTGAAGGCAGGGATAAAGGCCTGACCTCCAGTAATTGAAGGGGACCTTATAATGGCTCCGGACCTCCTGTCGTTGTCCAGTGAGGCATGAGGGCCATACCCATCCCAATGTCTTTTTCCTGGAGAGGAGATACTTTTGACATCAACCCCTATGCAGCTAGGCTTGTCCTTCAGGGAACCCAGAGAGATATTTTTAACTTTTATTTATATTCCCTTGCAGTGTTTAGCCTCACAGCCTAAGCAAGAATTCAGATCGCCAGTCAGAGGGGGTTCTGGGTGGCCCCTCTCTGCTTGGTCTAGGGGCAGAAGTCCCCTCTTTTAGGTTGGGTGGAGATGGGCTTTGGGAACATCCTGGATAGAGTAACAACCTCATCTTGAGTCTTGTGGTCCTCCATAGCTAACTTATGATAATGTATCTGAATAGGTTTTGCTACCAAATTATCTGTCTGTTGTTTCCCAAAGTTAGTAAGCCTATTTAAGGCCCAGGGATCAAAAGAAATAATCAAAAATAACCCAATTAATGGTCCCAACCAACCTTTATATCTCCACCTCCCCTTCCACTGCCCAATCACTGGCTCCAGTCTTTGTTTTACAAATTAAGATGGGCAGAAGGTTCACTAGAAATCACCTATGTAATGACTCACACCTCCTCTGCAGACCTTCATAGGAAAGGGGAATTAGTATCAAAATACAAGGCTGGGGCTATCCACTATCTCTGCTCCTTTTCAATGTTGTGCTCAAATCACTAGCTGGGACAACTAGGCAAGAGAAGGAAAGTAAAGATATACTAGGAAAAGAAGTTAAATTTGTTTTTAGATTAATTGATTTTCTTTTTTGTGTATGAATGTTTTGTTTCCATGTAAATATGTGTACCATGTATGTATCCAGTGCTCCTGGAGTGCCAGTTCCACCAGAACTGGAGTTATGGATAGCTAGGAGCCACTATGAGTGTGCTAGTAACTGAAGCCAGGTCCTCTGCAAGAGCAGCCTAGTGCTCTTAACCATTGAGCCATCTCAAAAACCTCTGCAACTTCCTGCTTCTAAGAATCTTATTCTGCCTTTGACATTCGCTTATCTCTTCATTAGACATATGTTGAAGAGTGTAAACAGAAACATATCTTTTAAGAACTTAAATTTAAGTAAATGTTAGAATTATTAGCCTTACCAAGGATTTTCATAGCTGAGTCAATATTGATTTGGAGATATGCCTCAAAATATGCTGTTTTCACTAGATTCTCCATCCCATAAAATCTTGAAGGAAAAGTATTTTCTTCTTCAAGCTTTAATGCATCAGACTCTGCTCACTTTACCAATATTGTTAATGGATATTTTCTTCTCATTCAAAAACTATTTCTTGATAAGACATGATGTAATAATTCTGTTTTTTCCTAAATAGCTAATTCATTATTCTAACTTTATTTTTAAAGTAATGAGCCTTTTCCCACTTATTTGAAATACTCATTTTCTCCTATATTAACTAACAATATGCATTTAATTATATTTTGTATTTTTTAATTCTGTCCTGTTGGTGTGGACCACTTTATGATGGTACTAAGGACTGAACCCAGAGCCTTGTGCATAAAAGCAAGAAGTCTGCATCTGAGGCTATGTGTTCCAACTCTGTAATGTGCTGCTTGTAACAGTCCCTCTTAACTATAGCAGTGTTCAAATACATTTAATTCTCTTTATGCATTGCCATTCCCCCATTCCCTCTATTAATTTTCTTTGGCAGAATGTCCCCTTTGCCATAATATGTTTTTTGTTTTCATATAAACTTTCAAAGCAGCTTATTTCAAGAAAATCCTAATTACATTTAATTTACATTATTTTTTAATTTCCTGTTTTTACTGTACTGACTTACATCCTGTGTAACAACTGAGTACATGCTTCATTTGTCCATGTAGATTTAAATGAAACCCATTAAATGAAACTTGAGGCTTTTCTCACACTTGTGCCTCAAGTTTCCCATAATTTCTTCCTGACTATATAGTCCTCTTTGTTGTTAAAGGAGGATCCAACCGTAGTGAGGAGCATTAGATTCTACAATTAATGATTCTCTTCATGTGCTTCCTTTAAACACTAGTACTGGGAAATATTTCCAAGAACTACACAAGATTGTAATGGGACATTCTTAGTTTAGCCTTTCTTTCCATGAGTTAGTGATCTTGCTAAATAGTCATGTTATTGATCAGAAGGTATAACTGTGTTAATTGTAAAGAATTGAAATTACAAGCCAGAATGTAGAATTTTAGAAATTTCCTTAGTAGCACTAGTATTTTTTTCCAAATCTATATCACTCTAACTCTGTGTGCTCTTCAGTTCCCTTCTCAGTTGTAATTCAGAGGATTGAAAAAGAATCCCAAGGCTCAGAACAGCCACCAAAAGGCACACTGAACAAAGCAGCCATAAGGGAAATCCTAAGAAAAGTGACCTGTAACCAAGGTCTTTTTTTATAGGGAACGTTCTGTTTGGCCTAATACAAATGTAATTACTCTGTATTTGATCATGACTATGGGAAGTAAGGACTGTTTCAAAGAGGAGAAAAACAGAAAGAGAAGCTTAGTTACTGTGCTTGTTGTCCCAGTTGAAGAAATGATTCACTTAAGGCTTCCACTCTAAAGCTTAAAAAAAATAACCAAAATTAGTACCAAGTAATTATGGTCTAGTAGAAACAGTGACTGCACAGTATATCCTTCATCTTGATTTTCTATACTCTGTGTCCTAGGGCATATTCAAATTCTGCCAGCTGGAGGCATTTGTTGTGCATTACAACTTCCTGGACACGATTATGATTTTTATGCTCTATGGTTGGTGTGTTGTTCCTCTCACTTATCTTGGATGCTTTCTGTTCAATAGTAGCACTGCTGCCTACATCAAAACAACGCTGTTTAACTACTTTTCAACTATGTTCAGTATCATCATTTACACTATCATACAATTTTATGGTAAGAACACCATACAATTTCCCCTTTTTCCAGGACATACATATATTAAACGGGAGTGAAATAATGTGAGAGTTTAAAATTAACTTGTGAACACTTTCCAATAATCTGAAAACCTGTGTTTTTTGGAAATCGGCAAATATTTACTGAGTAGATATGTGGAAGTTAGAGGTGGAAGAGAACATGGAGGAGAGAGAAAGGAAAAGAAGAACCAAGAATAAAAAGAAAGGGAAAACAGATTCTAGGAAGTCACTGTTACAAAAAGCTACTCTTCAATTGTGTGGTTAATACTGTTATTTCCCCACAAGCTTTCTGGGTGGGTACATGTAGCAACAAGTAGTGCTTTCTCAAGGATCGTCTGATAGTTTGAGAGTTGTCTGAGAATGACTTAACCACTTGGGAGAAGTTTGTTTTCATGAGGAGGTTCACTACTTTTCTTATCATTGAAGCTAATCTATTATCTTTTAATTACAGGTAATGAATTTCCTAGACTTGTCCACATCCTCATAAAGACAACTTTAATGACACTGCCTAGTTACAATCTAGCAATGAGTATCAGCAAGTATTTTGATGACTATGAGGTGAAAAGACTATGTGCTAGGGAATTCAGAAGCATTTATGTGGATTGCAGTGAACCATGTGAGTATTGGGACACTTTGGGCTCAAAAACACTATATTTTTTTCTACTTTCTATACTTCTACTAAAATTATGTCAAGTAAGAAAAACCTAGTTTTCTTCCCTTTGAGTAGAATGAGCTGAGATGTAAATTGGAAGTACATTACACCTAAGTTTGTTGGTGTTGCTGTTGCTGTTGCTGCTGCTGCTGTTGTTTTTACTTTGGGGGAATGTATAGGCAGCCAATAACAGGCAGTTAGAACCCCAAATAAGCATGACCAGAAAATACCTTTTCACATCACATCATTGTTTGTTAAGACTACAGAATAAAGAATACTGAAAACTACAAGAGAGGAATTTCAAATGACTTACAATGACTAATCTCAGAATTATATCAGCCATCCCTACAGAAACCCTAAAAGCCATGACAGCATGGAATGATGTGTTTGAAACTGTGAGAAAGTTAACTGTTCACAAAATTTACTATATCTATCAAAGTTAACTTTTACAATCAATAGAAATTGAAAACATTCTCAAGTAAACACAAAATAAAGCAACTCATTCGCCAGTAAAACATCACTGTCAAACATACTTAAAGAAGCCCTATATGAGGGTAAATAAGAAAAGCAGTCATGATCATGGAACTCAGGAAAGAATTCATTTTGTAAAAGGGATACATAAATAAATGAGAACGAAGGAAGAAGCAAAAATTCTCAACTCAGTAAACCATTAAACTTTGAGATGAACAAGGGGAAGGAAGAGAATAAACGATATTCAAACCAACCAGAAAAACAGGAACAAAATTATGTGAATCAGCGAATACTTCTCAGTAATAATCCTAAATGTTAATAGTGTCAATTCCAATTAACAGAATCAATTTAGCTGATTGGGTTTGAAAACAAGATCCAAATGTGTGTTATCAGCAATAGACACTCCCTGCTGGCAAAGACATATGCAAACTAAAAGTTTTCTGATGGGGGAAAAATACATACGATGAAAGGACAAGTCAGGGGCATGCTTGTGGATGATATGGACTTTGTTCCCAAAAATCTGTAGTTATATGTTTATATCAGTATGGTAAATGCCTAAGAGAGAAACTCAGGGATTGCCACAGGCAAACCTCTTGGGTCTCTCATGGTACTCTGGCTGCCTTTTGAGTATTTTTTTCTTTTTCTTTTTTCTTTTGGTTTTTCGAGACAGGGTTTCTCTGTGTAGCCCTGGCTGTCCTGGACCTCACTCTGTAGACCAGGCTGGCCTTGAACTCAGAAATCCGCCTGCCTCTGCCTCCCAAGTGCTGAGATTAAAGGCATGCACCACCACTGCCAGAATATTTTCTTTTTTATTATTTATTTAATCTTTGTTTACAGTCCATATTTTATCCCCCTCCCAGTCCACCAGCTGACTGTTCCACATCCCATACCTCCTGCCCCATCACAATGAGGATGTCCTCAATTGGCTACACCAGACCAGACCTTTCTACTCCCTGGGGCCTCCAGTCTTTTAAGGGTTAGGTACATCTTCTCTGACTGAGTCCAAACCTGGCAGTCTTCTGCTGCATATGTTTTGGGGGACTCATATCAGCTAGTATATGCTGTCTGGATGGTGGCCCAGTGTCTGAGAGATCTCGGGGGTCCAGGTAGGTTGAGACTGCTGGTCCTCCTACAAGGTCGCCCTCCTCCTCAACTTCCTCCAGCTTTTCACTAATTCAACCTCAGGGTTCAACAGCTTCTGTCCATTTTTTGGGTGTAAATATTTGCATCTGACTCTTTCAGCTGCTTGTTGGGTCTTTCGGAGGGTAGTCATGATAGGTCTCTTTTTCTGAGCACACCATAGACTCAGTAATAGCTTCAGGCCTTGAGGCCTCCCTTTGAGCTGGATCCCAAATTTAGGCCTGTCACTGAACCTCCTTTTCCTCAGGCTCTTCTCCATTTTTATTCCTGCAGTTCTTTCAGAGAGGAACAATTCTTGGTCAAAGTTTTGGGCTGTGGGACGGCAACCCCCATCCATCCCTCCACTTGATGCCCTATCTTTTTACTGGAGGTAGGCACTACAAGGTGCCTCTCCCCACTATAGGGAATTTTATCTAAGGTCCCTCCCTTTGAGTACTGAGAGTCTCTCATCTCCAAGGTGTCTGGTACATTCTAGAGGGTCCCCCCACCTCCTACCTCCCAAGGTTACCTGTTTCTATTCTTTCTACTGGCCCTCAGGACTTCAGCCCTGTTTCCCCACACACACACACACAATACCTGATTGCATATTCTGTACTTTTTTTTTGGCTAATATCCACTTGTTAGTGAGTACATACCATGCATGTCCTTTTGGGTCTGAATTACCTCACTCAGGATGATATTTTCTAGTTCCATCCATTTGCCTGCAAAACTCAAATGTCCTCGTTCTTAATATCTTAGTAGTATTCCATTATGTAAATGAACCATGTTTTCTGTGTCTATTCTTCAGTTGTAGGACATCTGGGATGTTTCCAGCTTCTGGCTATTGCAACCAAGGCTGGTATGAACATACTGGAACATGTGCCCCTGTGGCATGGTGGGGCATCTTTTGGGTATATTCCCAATTTGCAGATGATATAATTGTATACATAAGCAACCCAAAAAAATTCTGTGAGAGAACTTCTACAGCTGATAAACAACTTCAGCAAAGTGGCTGGATACAAAATTAACTCAAATAAATCAGTAGCCTTTTTGTACCAATGATAAGCAGGCTGAGAAAGAAATTAGGGAAACAACTCCCTTCACAATAGACACAAATAATTTAAAATATTTTGGGGTAACTCTAACCAAACAAGTGAAAGATCTGTATGACTATAACTTCAAGTCTCTCAAGAAGGAAATCAAAGAAGACCTCAGAAAATGGAGAGATCTCCCATGTGCATGGACTGACAGAATTAACATAGTAAAAATGGCCATCCTATCAAAGGCAATCTTCAGATTCAATGCATCAAAATTCCCCATCAAAATCCCAACACAATTCTTCAAAGACATGGAAAGAGCAATTCTCAAATTCATCTGGAAAAGCAAACCACCCAGAATAGCAAAAACAATTCTTAACAATGAAAGAACTTCTCGGGGAATCACTATCCCTGACCTCAAGCTATGCTACAGGGTAATAGTGATAAAAACTGCATGATACTGGAACAGAGACAAACACATTAATCAATGGGATAGAATTGAAGACCCAGAAATAAAACCACACACTTATGGACACTTGATCTTTGACAAGCCAAAAATATACAATGGAAAACAAAAGAAAGCATCATCAATAAATATTGCTGGTCTAACTGGCAGTCTGTATGTAGAAAGATGAAAATAGATCCATATTTGTCACTACTTTGCACAAAGCTCAAGTCCAAGCAGATCAAAGACCTCAACATAAAACCAGATACACTGAATCTAATAGAAGAGAAAGTGGGAAAGAGCCTTGAACTCATTGGCACAGGGGGAATAGTTCCTAAATAGAACTCCAATGGCTCAGGCTCAAGATGAAGAGTTGATAAATGAGACCTCATGAAACTGGAAAGCTTCTGTAAGGCAAAGGACGTAGTCAATTGAATATTTTCAAAAGCATTTAAAGACAGAATATCTACACCTAAGCTGTATGTATTTTGATTTTTTAAATGTATGTTTTAAACAAAATCTAGTCCATATATATAAAGACAAGCACTATATATTCATAAAGGAAGCAGACCATCAAGAAGATCTGAAGGGTTACTGAGGCACCTCTCAGGCAAAAATACTTACCACTAAGCATGACAACTTGAATTTTATGTCTAAGTAGAAAAGAACCAACTACTACAAGTTACTCTCTGACCTCTATATGTGACATGGCACACATGCTCATACACATATATATGTAAAACAATAAATAAATAAATAAATAAATAAATAAATAAACAATAAATATTAAATTTTTAATTTTAAAAATCTTTAACAATAATAAACACATTTAAACTAAGTACCAAATTTCATTTAAAAAAAACAACACACATACAATGATGGATTGGTCCAGATTCAGTAATAGTGAATGGCTTCAAAACACTACTGTTATTGATAGATTATCTAGTCCTACCCCTCCACACTCCCCAAAAAAACAACAAAGAAACAATGCAATAACGGAATAAAATGATGGTTTCATGAATACACACTCTTCTTAGCAGCCAATTGAAGCTTCTTTAAAATAAATCACATTATAGTTCATAAAGCAAGTCTTAAGAAATGTAAGAGGATACTCGATTGGTTCCTTTGGCTGGGGAAGACACCTAGCTGGTCTGCTCCCATGAAGATACCATATCCTGAGCCATCCTAGAGGAATCACTGCACTCAGAGCAGCAAAGGAACTGCTGCACTCAGAGCAGCTGGATTTCCGGATCCCAGAGGTAGCCTGAGTCCCAGGAGTTCTTCCGCCTAGGAGCTCAGGACCACAGGATCACAGAGACATCTGGACTCTGAGAAGTTCTGACACAAGCAAGATAACAGGACAGACAGGCTCCAGTCAGAGACAGTGAGTGCAGGTAGCACTAGTGTTAACCAGATGGCAAAAGGCAAGCGAAAGAACATAAGCAACAGAAACTAAAGTTACTTGGCATCATCAGAACCCAGTTCTCCAACCATAACAAGTCCTGGACACCCCATCACATAGGAAAAGCAGGACTCAGAATTAAAATCACTTCTCATGAGGATGATAGAAGACTTTAAATAAAACATAAACAACTCCCTTAAACAAATACAGGAGAGCACAAGTAAACAGGTAGAAGCCCTTAAAGAGGAAACACAAAACCCCTTAAAGAATTGAAAGAAAACAAAACCAAACAGGTGAAGGAATTAAACAAAACCATCCAGGATCTAAAAATGGAAGTAGAAACAATAAAGAAATCTCAAAGAGAGACTACCCTGGAGATAGAAAACCTAGGAAACAGATCAGGAGTCATAGATGCAAGCATCACCAACAGAATACAAGAGATAGAAGAGAGACTCTCAGGTGCAGAAGATACCATGGAAAATATTGACAC